GAGGGAGCAGACGCTGGTACTTGTTCGGCGGTGAATTGCTTGGGTGTTTCCACTGCCCCATCATGGGTGTCGCCTCGCCCTCGAGTCCTGCGGCTCTGTGTCCCCGCGGCGGGTCCCTTAACCTGTTTGTCCATCTGCGGGACTCGTTCTACTCGCCCAAGTGCTGCTTGGCTGTTCAGCTGCTTACTAATAAAGTGTCGTCTCTGGGAACACTAGACACACCCTGTCACTTGGGAAGACTCAGTCCGAGAACTCGCTGTTCCTTTCCCGTGTGAGCGTGAGTCACTCAACCCCTGAACAACTTTATTTCCTACAAGGGCTTGGTAAGGATTAAGAGTTTCTATTCAACTCTTTCTGGAGATTTTGAAAGATCGGAGAAAATTTACTTGGGAGCCAGGTGTGCTGGCAAGCACCAGCTACTCGGGAGGCCGAGGCGGGAGGATCGCTTGAGGTCAGGAGTTCGAGACCAGCCTGGGCAACATAGCGAGACCCCGTCTCTACTAAAAATAGAAAGAAATTAGCTGGACAACTAAGAATACATAGAAAAAATTAGCCGGGCATGGTGGCGCATGGCTGTAGTCCCAGCTACTCGGGAGGCTGAGGCAGGAGGATCGCTGGAGGTCAGGAGTTCGAGGCTGCAGTGAGCTGTGATTGTACCACTGCACTCCAGCCTGGGCAGCCCCATGTCTAAAAAAAAAAAGAATTTTTAATGACTTTAGAAACCTTCCCTCACACACATGACAAAACACGTGCCACGAAAGGAAGGTAGGTGGGACAATGTCGTCACTATAAAGGAAGGGCTGGAACAGGCCGGCGAACAGAACTAGCTGCATCGTCTGCAGCCTTGAGCCCGACAGAGGGCAGGAGCCCGTGCAGGCTGGTGCTGGCCCTCCTGGTGAGGTAAGAAGCCAAGAGAGGCTTGTCGCAGGTAGGGCTGAGAAGGACAGAGTCTGTAACCAGTGAACCCGTCGACGCGACGTGCTAGGAAAAGTGCCCTGAGGTCGCTGGAAGCAGCGCACCTTCCAAAGTATGTAAAATTTGCAATGTAAAGATTCAGAAACGGAGGCTTAGCGAAAAAGCTGGAAGTGGGAATTAGCGAGACTGCGGCCACGTGGCACTGCATAGGCAGTGTTTCTGGACTGTCTTGCTGAGGCCTGTTGGAGAGAACCGGAAGGATCAGACCGCCTCCTGCAGGCCGGGTGTTTGATCTGTCTCTTCGTTTAATCCTCACCGTCGCCCTTTGCAGTAGGCCGATCTCCTCTTTCTAGACAAACGGCATCACCCAAGCTGGTGGGTTGCAGAGCCGGGATCTGAATCTAAAACCCGGCCTGGGCGGATGCGGGAGCTGGAACAAACTGCATCATGAAAACATTTCCGGCCAAGCGCGGGAGCTCACGCCCGTAATCCTCGCGCTCTGGGAGGCCGAGGCAGGAGGACTGTTGGAAGCCAGGAGTTCAAGACCAGCCTGGACAACATAGCGAGACCCCGTCGCTACAAAAATAGAAAATTTAGCCAAGCGTGGTGGTGGCGCACGCCTGTAGTCCCAGCTACTCGGGAGGCTGAGGCAGGAGGATCGCTTGAGCCCAGGAGTCGGAGGCTGCTGTGAGCTAGGATGATGCCACTGCACTCCAGCCTGGGCAACAGAGCGAGACCCTGTCTCGACCCCCACCCTCCAAACAAACAGCCATTTCTAAGTACAAACTAGGTGCAAAGCGGAAGAAATGAAGACAGAACAGCTCCACGTGTACCATGAGGTGGGCCAAGGCCAGTCTGCAGATGACTTCCAGAACCTTCACGGTGTTAGTGACCATCGCATGGAAACCGTTGGCTTACAGAAAGGTTCAAGCGTGTTGGGAACACGTTCTCTCCGATTCATACGTTCTCATCAAGGTGCTCGTCCTGGTGCCAACTACGAAATCGACGCCGACGTCTCCTAGTCTACTTTACGTTTCTCTGAGGTACGACCACTATTCCGTGTGCCTCCCCGCCCACCTGGAGTTGCTAAAATTAATATTTTGTGAAGAGAAAGACACCACAGATATTTAAAGCACACACAGTTTAGAAGCTAAAACAGGTCCCTTGACTAGAGAGAATCGTAGCCGGGCACGGCCGCCCATGGCGGTCCCAGCTCCTCCTCGAGAGGCTGAGGCACGAGGGTCACTTGAGCCCAGAAGTTCTGGTCTGTAGTGCGCTGGGCCGATCAGGAGTTCCCACCGAGTTTGGCATCAACCCGGTGACCTCCTGGGAGCGGGGGGGCCACAAGGTCGTCCAAGGAGGCGTGAACCAGCCTGAAGTGGAGCAGGTCAAAACTCCCAGGCTGATCCGTAGTGGGAATGCGCCTGTGAACAGCCACCACATTCCAGCCTGGACAGCATAGTGAGACCCCATCCCTAGGGGGGAAACAACAGAACCTTAAACTCCAGGGGGTTAGGAGAGATCTTAGAGGACTAGTTGAATCTCCTTAAATAGAGGACTCCCAAGCTGATCCATAGTGGGATTGCACCTTCGAACAGACACCACGTTCCAGCCTGGACAGCATAGTGAGACCCCATCCCTAGGGGGAAAAAAACAGAACCTTAAACTCCAGGGGGTTAGGAGAGATCTTAGAGGACTAGTTGAATCTCCTTAAATAGAGGACTCCCAAGCTGATCCGTAGTGGGATTGCGCCTTCGAACAGCCACCACGTTCCAGCCTGGACAGCATAGTGAGACCCCATCCCTAGGGGGAAAAAAAATAGAACCTTAAACTCAGGGGTTAGGAGAGCTCTTAGAGGACTACTTGAATCTCCTTAAATAGAGGAATTATTTCGACACATCCCTGACAAGCAGTCTCTCCTTGAACACCTCCAGCGGCAGGGTCTCGTTTTCCCTGAGACGGTTTTTTTCACTGTTACTAGAAAGTTCTTTCTAAAACTGGACCAAAAGCCTAGCTCTTCATCATTATCCCTCAGTTCTCTGGCAGTGCGAACAGGCCGGCCCCTCATCCTCACGTCCTCCGCTACCGGCATTCAGCGGTGGGAGGGAGCCCCAGTGTGTCTCTATACAGTTAATCCAGAGTAAAGTCCCGACTGTGCTCGAATCTGTCGCGATTATTCTGAACTCGGCCTGCGACGCCTTCGCCCCTCCATCCTGCTGCTGGTCGAGGTGAGCGAGCCCCGCGTTCTGCTGTCTTCGTGCTGCGCACGATGGCGGGAAGGTGAGGGCGAGGCCGAGCCGGAGCTCACAGGCTGCTGCCGGGACCGTCGTCGCCGGGCTGACGTGCGTTGGGTCGTACCCGGTCCCCGACTTGACGGCGGGTTGACTCGTGACGTTTTTGTCTCGCAGCGGGTTTGCTGGGAAGCGGCCCGTCGTGCGTCGGGTGCATCTGCGAGTTATAAAAGGGGAGCAGAGCGGGAAGGAGCCCGAGAACCTTCGTGTTCCCGCGAGCCGTCTCCGCGGCGGGAGGCAGGTCCACACCGAGGGCAGCGCGGGTGTCAACCGGGTTGTTTGACGGTTCGGCCCGGGGCTTCCGCGCGCGTGTAGCTGCGTTCGCACTCGTGCTCGGCGTCCTTCCGTGGCTCTGAGCGTCCATCAGCTGCTGGAGCAAGGGCCACAGTGGACAGAAACGGGCCAGGTGGTGGCAAGTGACAAGTTACGGCACGAAACACGCATCTTTGACTGCCGAGTAGCCCGGGCGACTTTCTGTCTGCGGCGCGCGCTCGTGCACGTGGGCGGCGTCCACTTCTCACTGGGACGCCGCAGCTTGCTCGTTCCTGTACAGGCGTTTGCTGGACGTGCGTTTTCCTTTCCCTTTTGCCGTAGACCCGGAGTGGTGTTGCTGGGTCACGCGGTCCCCACGTGTGACGTTTTGAGGAGGAGCCACAGTCGCCCCGTGTTACGCTCCCACCGGCGGCACACGAGGGTCTGAATTTCTGCGTCCTTGACAGCGGTCACCGTCCTTCTGATGACAGGTCCCTGGTCTTTCCAGCACACCCTCCTCCTCCTCCTCCTCCTCCCAGGACCTCCACCCTGACATCAAATCCCAACCGTCACATGGGCGTGGCGCTCGCTGCCCGGTCCCCTCCGTGGCTCTGTGATTTGGACTGTCGATCGGACACAAGTTTCTTTTTCTTTTTTTTTTTTTTTTGAGACAGAGTCTTGCTCTGTCGCCTGGGCTACCATGCTGTGGCGTCAGCCTCGCTCACAGCAGCCTCCAACTCCTGGGCTTGAGCGATCCTCCTGCGTCGACCTCCTGAGTAGCTGGGACTATAGGCATGCACCACCATGCCTGGCTAATTTTTTCTATATAATTTTAGTTGTCCAGCCAATTTCTTTCCATTTTTAGTAGAGATGGGGTCTTGCTATGTTGCCCAGGCTGGTATCGAACTCCTGACCTCCAGCAATCCTCCCGCCTTGGCCTCCCAGAGTGCCGGGATCACAGGCGTGAGCACCGCGCCCGGCCTAGTGTTGCCAGCACTTTGAACACGCCTGGCCCGCCGCAGGCCATCAGGTGATCTGTGTCAACTGAGATGTCACCGACACTGTGCTTGGCCGTGGGGATGACGGGCCCCTCTGGCTCTGGCATTATTCCGGGGCCCTGAATCACAAACGTCCAGGTGGGCGAGCTGTCCGCTGATGGAATGAGCTGGAAGGTCAGTTTCCGTTTCTGTGCCCTTTGCCGTGCGGTGACGTTTGCTCAGTTACACTCTGGTGTTTGCGGCTCGAGCGCCCCGGTGTTTCGGGCCGGGTCAGGGCCAGCCAGGGCTGCCGGCGTCGCCGCGGACCCCGCGCGTGGGCAGGTGGTGTCAGGGCCACGCCGCCGTGCGGTTCGGCCCTGCGCCAGGCCGACCTTTCCGGAAACCACGAGCCGTGCCCGCTGGCATGCCCCGTCCCCCCTGGGCCACGCAGTGTCCTCGTGCCCGTACTGCCTGCCTTTGCAGGGTGGCGTCCGGGGCCTGGGGGGAACCGGCACGGGGAAGGCGCGCACAGAGCGCGTGAACCTCTGCGCTTTGCCCCCGCCAGGTGCGAGCGGCTGGAGGAGCAGCTCAACGACCTCACGGAGTTGCACCAGAACGAGATCTTGAACCTGAAGCAGGAGCTGGCCAGCATGGAGGAGAAGATCGCGTACCAGTCCTACGAGCGGGCCCGCGACATCCAGGTGAGCGCGCAGGGGCGAGGCGCGCGAGCGAACTGAGCGAGACTAGCGGAGAAAAGGAAATCGCAGGAAGGAAGGACAGAGACGGGTGGGGAGGAGTCTCGGGAAAAGCTCTCGCCGCCTGTCGCTCACCCGCCCTTCGAGGGGTCGAGGCGCGCGGCTCCAAAGCGCGTGCGCTGTTGGGTGCCGCCCCCGCTTGGTTCTGGGGACGTGCCTCTCGGTGACGTCGGTCTCAGCGACAGCAGTCCCAGGACGTGGGAAGCCGC